GGCCGCACTGTTGAGCCCCGCGGCGGCCGCGGGCGCCTGGTAGAGCCCCGGGTGGCGGAAGCTGCACAGCAGCTCGGGCCGCGAGTAGGGGTGCGAAAGCGCGCGGAAGGTGTCCAGCGGACGGATGGACGTGGCGAAGGGCGACGACGCCGCGGCCGCCGCACCCGAGGCTGCAGCTGCGGCCGCCGCGGCCGTGACGCCCACGTGCGGGTAGTAGTGCAGCGGCACATGCGAGTGGAAGGGGTAGGGCAGGCTTCCGGTGGCGGCCGCGTGCGTCATCATGTAGGTGTAGAAGCTGGGGTCGGCCGGGTGCGGCCACGACATGGCCAGGCGCTGCCGCTTGTCCTTCATGCGCCGGTTCTGGAACCACACCTGCGGGGACAGCGCCGCGCCCGCGTTAGGAGGCCGCGTGCTCGGCCCCCGCCCTCCCGCACCTTCGGGTGGCCTGGCCTGGTCCTCCGCACCGGGGTCCCCTCTGCGTCCCAGCAGAGACGGGGACAGCAGGGTGTGGCGCGCCCTCCGAAGTCCCGGGACTCTGTGCCCCCTCCCCCGCTGCTGCAACTCCTCGGGCTTTGATCTTTTAGTTCTGACAGCATTTTCCTGTCCCAGTTCAACCTTTCCTCTTCCTCCTGCCGCCCAAGGCCGCCCCAGCCGCTCTGAGCACCCGCCTCTCAATCCCTGGATTTGCACGGGGATTCCGAGCGGCCTTGGAAGAGTGGCTGGGCTGCAGCTCCCCTGCGAGGTGGCCGCTCCAGGTCTTGAGCCTGAAGCCTGCAAGGACCTGCCCCTAGGGGCACGGGACCGATTATGGCTTTGAAGAGATGATTTTGTTGGAATCATTTGCCTTAAATGAGTAGGGAAAGCAATGCCCCTATAAACCGGGAAGAGGACTTTTCTGTCCCTCCTAACACCGTAGCTAATAAAGACATCATTCGTCACAACTCCAAAGTAAATAAAGCCTGATCAGACTGGAGAGGACCCCCGCACCCCTCTCCTATCCCGTGGAGTTTTCTCTTTTTCTAGAGTGTCAAATGCTCCGAGAACTATTCATCAAGTCGCCCCATCTCCCGGCTCTGTCTCCAGTACGTACAATAAAATTAATAACCTAAATAGATATATAAACAAGGACAATTTCGTTGCGTTTCTCTCCAAGGAGATTGCCTTTCTCTTGTTGCCTGAGAGAAAATAAAAATGTTCAGGAAACTACGTTCTCGGGTTAATCGATTTTTTTAAAAAACAATATTCTTTTCTCTATGTAGCAACGATTTATGTGCAAAAAATAAATACCCAGGATCACAAGCAAAAGAAAAGTGCCTCTCCAGATTCGTGCCAGGGGAACAAAGACCAGCTGGCCTTGCCACGTAGGAGAGAGTGGGACCATGGGTGCGGGCGAGGGGCATCTGGGCAGGCATTGGGCAGAACCAAGCAGAAGCGAGGGATGGTTTGTGGCCTCGGCTCCGTCACGCGGGAGCCTTCCTAAATCAGCCTGGGCCCCAGCCATTCGGATTCGGCACCTGAGAAATAAATACTGTAAGCCAGCGCCTTTGGTGTCTAACCTCCCGCGGATTTCCTGGCCCTGCGCTAAATCTAGCCACAGGAGAAGGAGAAAGAGGGGAAAGAAACCAATCAACCCAGGCGCCCCGGGGGAGGCCAGACTAGCGCCGCACTGGAATCGATACCTTGATGGTGGTTTCGGGCAGGTTAAGAGCAGCGGCCAGCTCGCACCGGCGGGGACGCGATACGTAGTTTTCCCGGTAGAACTCCTTCTCCAGGCGCGCGATCTGCTCGCGGGTGAACGCGGTGCGGTAACGCCGCACCTGATCCGCGCCGGAGCCGGAGCCGCCCAACGCCGCACCCCCACCGCCGCTGCCTCCGCCGCCGCCTCCATGCAGGCTACCGAGGCCTGAGCCCGACGCTGACGTCGTGGTGCCGGCCGCCGAGCCGCTCTCCGCGTACCCTGGCAAACAAACAGTCAAAAGCGCATGAGTCGCAGTCGGGGCCCGGAGCCCCGAGGCCGGAGCTGCTGCACGCAGATGGGGGAAATCGCGTCAGAGAGCAAAGTAGCTGCCGGAATTGATGGGGTCTGTCATGCTTACGAACTGCTGCCGTTAATGGAATCAATAAAGTTTGGAGAGTCCTTCATAATCAAATAATAGGAAAGGAATTAGGGAGGTTTTTTTTAATAATTAGAAAATTTCCACTGGGGAGGAAAATTGGCCGAGAGAAAACACCTACCTCGGGGTACAGTTGGAGAAGGTCTGAATTTATTGACCCGCAGGACAGCTTTCTGTACTGCCTCAAACCTTTCTTTGACAGTCTTTTGGATTTGGTTTAAAATATTTTAAGATTTGCAAGACAGCAGTAGCTCAAACCTGAGCCATTAGTGGGGTTGAATCTACTTTTCAACTCTCTCCTGGCTGGCCTAAGTAGTTTCGCAGAGGCGCCCGGGCCAGGCTCTCCGAGTTACCCAGAAGAATACCCCTCCACGCGGCCCTGAGGGGTCAGAGGCGGGGAGTTCAGAGTAGCTGCCAGGGCGCCGGCCCCTGAGAGAGACTCAGCCGCGGGCTAGGGGTCTGTCTGCGCGCTCCGCTTCCTACATCGGCACGCAGAGACATTTTCTGAGACTCGGGAGCCCGGGCTTGCGGGCCTGGCGCCCCAGGCTCCGCAGGCCTTTGGCGCTGGAAGGAGCAGAGCCGGAGGGCACGATCCCTGCCTGCATCTTGTCTCCCCCGAGCCAGCTCGGTGCAGCCTGCTGGCGGAGGGGCAGAGAGGGGCAAAGGCACAGGGAAGGACGGGCGCGGGCCGCGGAGGAGCGGAGGATGGGACTGCACGCGCGATTACCTTTGCCATTGTTTTCCTTGAGCGGCGCGGCGCCCAGGCCTCCGGGCGAGCGCAGCGCGGAGCAGCCCACCTCCACGTCGCTGCTCATGTCGGCCTCGGTGGCCGCCTCTGAATAATGGCCCGGCTTCTTGCGGCTGTCGGTGGCGGAGGCAATTTCGGAGGAGACGGTGCTTTCGCTGCCCGGGTGCTGCAGGTTGAACAAAGTGTCTATTTCGAATTTGCCCTTGGCAGGGAGGTCTCCTAGAGCGCCGTGCAGGGGGGCGGACGGTAGGCGCGGGCTGAGGCGAGCCGGGTGCTGTGAATTTTCCAGGGCCTCGAGCACAGCACTGCCAGCGGAGTCGGACAAATTGGAGAACCTCTTGCCAGCCGTAGGGCTATGGAGCCCTCTCTCCATCAGAATCATCTCTTTTCTTATTCTTTCCATCATCTCAGCTTTCTAAAAAATGTCACAGTGGCCAGGCTGTCCCGTCCTAATGATAGGCTGCGCCTAGGGCTAATTCTCATTCAGTCCCAGCAAGCGCCTCTAAATATTATTATCTCTTTTGGAGGGAGGCGGAAAAATTGTGGGATGCCAGAGCGAGGGAATGACTGGTCAAAATGACCCATACATCCTTCCGAGCCCGAGATGTCATTCATCAAAAAGTAGCGCCCGCTCGTCATTAAGGTACGAATGACGCCGTTCGAATAATCATTTATTGTAACAGGTTTATAAGCAAATAAATACACGCTCCTGTCAGTGGGTAATGAAGGCGGCTTCAGAGCAGACAAATAGATCCAGGTAGGAGACGAGAAGAGACAAGAAGTGAGGAAGAAGGCTCCGGTCCTTTGCCCGCTCCGAGCCAGTTCTGCTCGCCCGGGGGTTTGGCCTCGGGGGTGAAATTGACAGTCTGATTAATAGAGCGCTCCGCGGCACATTTCCCCCTTCATTTAGGGGCATCATTACGCTCTCAGTTTGCTGGGTTGCCCCTTAGGTCCTAATCATGCAGCGCCTTCCTCATTTTTCCACGGACACAGATACATGTTAAATAATAGATAATGCTTTGATTTTCCAGAGTAGATCCTCAAGAAGGTTTAAAAAAATTTACAAGCTGGGGGCGTAAGTGGGGGGGGGCAGGGGGAGGATGCAGGAAGAGTTGCGTAAGGACAAGACCTTACGCTCCTGTCTGGATTACTTATCTTTCTGTTTTCAGAACCAAATATGTATTTTATTTAACAAATAGGACTCTGAGTTCTCTCCCCCTCTACTTCATCTCAGCCTGGATGCTCTCCTCCCACGGGGGGGGGGAATGTCTTGCAGAGTTTTGAAACCGCTTTTTTGCTACGTGGCGGGGGCGGGGGTACACGGTCCCGCGCCTCCACATGCAAATCATTAGATCCTCTCTGATTTTTAACACCGCTTACAGAGTGTGTTCAGAACTCAAAGTCCCAGGTTTTTTCTTTCCTTTTTTTTTTTTTTTTAAGTTTTATAATCCCGCTGATGGATAGCCTTCTCGCCTACGCATTTTCCCTAGGGAAATGAGCTAGACTGGACGATTTGATAGCAGAATTCGGCAGCTAACTTTAAACACAGTCGCGATTTACAACGCCATGCAGGCTGCTCCGAATCCACTTTTACGTTGACTCCTTTCCCACTTCCTCCTCGAATAGAATTGTGTCAAAGTAGCCAGATCTCGAGGTCAGAAGGGGAAAGAGGAGCCCCAGCCAGCTCCCCCTACCATCCCTCTGCGCTCCCGTCCCCCTGGGCTCTTCGGGCCGCTCCCCTGCCTCCCCTCCTCCACCCCGACCCCTCACCTGTGGTCCCGGGTGCTCCAGGCGCTCAGCCCCGCAGCAGAGAGTAGCCGACCAACCTTGCTGCAGTTCCTCGCGGCCTGAGGTTGGCGGCTGAGCCTCTTGGCGATAACTTTGATGGTCATAATGACGCCGGTGGCAACCATTTTAACGAAGATCAATCTTCACCGAAGGCCGCTCCTCATCTCCTCCCGCGCTTGCGCCCCACCCTTCCCGACCTCCGCAGCGCAGGGCCCGCCCGCCAGGCGCGCGAGGGGGAGAGGTTCGCGGGCACCGGCGAGGACAGAGAGGGCAAAGGAGGGGACACAGAGTGTCCAGCCCGGCCCTTGAGCTTCCGAAGCGGCCCAGAGACCCTGGCAATCTGGGCGCAGATCCTGCATGTCGGAGCCAGCGCCAACTCAGACCCCAACCTGGGCCCCTTCCCTCCCACCCTTCGACACACCCAGCACATCGGGGTGTGTTAGGGGCGAACCCAGGATCTATTTGCCCATCTGTCTATTGGCGCTTTCCTTTTAACCTTAGACCCGTTGGGGGCGCGTCAGGAATGTGAGGGGAGGCGAGGTGTGAAGTACATTTACACACATATATATGCATACATCGTCAAAGCCAAAAGTTTCTCTCCCGTTCCCCTTGGCGCCAACTTTCTTGGAGTTGCTTAGAAAATCAATTACACCTCCTGAAGGCAATAAACCCAAAGCTCAATAGGCACGCAGTGTTTGTGGGTGAAGGGGCGGGGAGAGATGGCTGGAAACCCAGAGCGGGCGTCCAGTGGTCTGATGAGGACTTGCCCGGGCGTCCCCCGTGACCCCTGTCCCTGTGACCACGCAGCCCGGAGCTGCGCTCTCCTGCAGGCTTCCAGGCCATTAGCGCCACGGGAGCCCAGCCCTGCGGACTCCCCCACTTGCTCCTCAGTCGCACATCCCTCTCCAGCGGTCTTGGCAGTCGCTCCCCGAGTGACCCGGGGAGGGTTATCCCCCTACCCAGTCCGGCCTTGCTCTGGAGACTAAACGGGGCACTTTGGTCCTGGTTGGGGGGGTAGAGCCCGGGTGGCGGTGGGGACGCGTGGAGGCGCTGCCTGGGCGGAAATCCGCGGATGCCTTTATTGCTGTCGTTTGGCGCCCCCATCTGTTTTCCTCGCGGTTTCGGCGGCTGTGAGCAGCTTTTCAATGGCAGAAGCCGCCACTGGGGGTTGAGATGCAGACCGCGACCCCTTCTTCTATGGCCCTGCCCGCGGGTCTCCCACATCCTCCCTGGGACCCGGCGCCTCTAGTTCCAAAGACTGCGGCAAACTCGAGCTCTTTCTGTTGAAAAAGGGAAACACCACTTTCTGCGTCACCTTCATTCATTAGTGGTTTGGAAAACTATTTTACACCTTTTAAATAACATTAATGCCGTTTACTACGAAAAGTGCATTGGAGACCATGTCAGGGAAACTACTCAAGGTACAAGACACCAATAATTTTTCGCTAAACGGTGTTTAGCAGACAATGTTTCGTGAAGCACAGTAAACATTCCATTTCAATATTTAAATACCCTTAATTTAGATTCCACAACCACTGCCAGTAGTAATATTGCCGCATTGATATGAAGCTCTTACTATACAGTTACTTTTTATATGTATTATGTCTTCTAAACTTCCAGTAATTGTGGAATTATATGATCACCTTTCCGGGAATGAGAAACTTTTGACACAGAGGAGGAGTTCAGTGACTTGCTCATAATTGAAACTTATCTTTAATAATATACAAGTCACAAGGTAGTTCAAAGTTTCGGGTAGCATTTCTGGTCTTTTTCATGGTGCGTGTCATATTTAAATTCAGGCCTAATCAAAAACACTGAGCCTCTTTAGAGGATAGAGGGATGAATGCCGCAATGATGATGTTTAAGGATGAAATACCCGAACCTCACACGTCTCCCAGAATGTAAAGGCTAAGGCTGGGAACCGGCTGGGGAGATGTTCTGGGGTTTTAGACACAGCCTCTCACTTTGATTCCTCTTCCCCACTACCAAGATGCAGGACCTACTCAATAAAACAAGATAAGGATCCAACCCAATCTAAAAGCATGTAGCTTGGCAGAGATTTTTAAGATGGGCTGTGGGGTACACCGCCGGAAGGACTTGCTCCATTTGGACTGAAAAGCACTTTTTTTCCCAAGGTAAGAATGACATGAACAAAACCTAATTTTTGCAGTTAGGCCTCCAGACTAAATACTTGTTTCTTCTGCAGAAGCGGGTCCTCAGAGGCGAACTGATAAACACTCCTGGCCTGAGACTGAAGGTAATAAAAATCTGTCTCAGCTGCCCCAGCGGAGGGGCGCGGGTAACCGCGGAGCTGCAGCGGAGCCCTGCGGCGGCCGAGCCTAGCTCTCCTCTTCCCGACGTCTGTCTGGCACCGGGCAGCTGCAGCCTCCATCGCAGATCAGCATCGAGGCACGATTTCTTCTCCAGCACGGGGACTGCGGTGTGTGGTGCGACAGCAGAACCGCCGGGGCTTGGGCTGCGGGTCCTTGGCACCTTTTCTTTAGACCAACTGCAATCCCCAAGGCTGGAAGTTTCGGTTTATAAGGGAGCATGAGGGCTTGACCAACCAGGCCTGCCTTCTCACGGCTAATTTCATGCTCAGGTCCTTGGCAGGCAATCCTGTAGTTCTCTGTCTCCTCTGAGTCTGTCTGGATGCTTCTTTCTCTCTCTTTCTCCTTCTCCCTCTCTCCCTGCGATCCCGTGCCACGGTGGGGGCAGTTATAGGTGAGAAGTTGCATGAGTACTTTCTTCCTGAAGGGAGCTATTCAAACGCGTCGCCAGCCTTGAGCTCCTCTGCCCTCAGATGCGACGCGAGAACTTGCAGGGACATCTAGCGCCAGGCGTGGGGAACTGCGTGCCGCCCGGCCAAAGCCTAGCCGACCACTCGCACCCTCCTTCATCGTTCGGCACTTTCTGATCCTTCACCCTTTTGTCTTACTGCTGACTATGACATGGGCTCCCCATAAAGACTGTGAGATCTGAGAAATGCAGATAGGCAGATAAACAGACCTTTTTTCCCCCTTTACTTCAGATGGCCCACAGAGTGAGCTTTACTGCATTTAAGTTAACCATAGTTTTACTAGAAAAGTGTATTCCTAGGACTACCCCACACCTTGAGATGTCAGACCAAACTGCAGCAAATTGCAGTCTCAGCTTTTAATAAATTTTTTAAAATAACAAGGTACTGGGTCTTGCAGCTCTGGACCCACACTCTGGTGCCCCCTTCGTAGAGAGTTTAGTTTTTCTTTTTGAAAGAAGATTTTTACCGTTTAATTCCCTCCCAAGACTGGAGGAGTGCTATCTCATACAAGGGCCTGCTGCCCTGTAGGAGGCAAACCTGGCTTCAGCAAGTAATGTTTTGTGTTTGGGAAGGGTTTTTGTTGTTGCTGTGAACGATTTTCATTTAATAAAGCTTCGTTTTGTTGTTAAACTGAAAGGGAATACATGTCAGGCATAGAAAGTGGCCAAACAGAATAATGCTCTGTCTGTTACTAGAGCCATCTTTATGTACCTAGGTAGTGTTTTGGGTTTTGTTTTTGCTGTTTTGTTTGTTCTTTTGATATTTTCAGCCCCAGTGGAACTCAGTATTCCCCCTGGAGATGGGAAATTGGGTCCAATGTTAGCAGGACTTGGTTAAGAGCACTGTTCAGCCATGTCTACTGGACTTAAGAGTTTGGAATTAAGATTCTTTCTACACTGAATCTTTGGTTTCTTACAAGTTAATTAGGAAGGTGTCCTTCACTTCCTGGTTTTGGCCATCAAGGCAAATGCTTTCAAAGGACTCCCCGGGACCCCATTCTGATAGGACCCTGTCATCCTAGTCTTAATAGCCACAGATTATGTGGTTAATTGAGCTTATTGCTGTCTTGGCAAGCAGAGCAAATTCAATAAATCTACCCTAGGCTTGCTCCCCCATCACGGCAAACCAACAAAACCTAGATTGCAACCTGTATTCAACTGTTCCTCAAACCCAGACAGGAGAGCAATCTGAAAGATTACCTACAAGGAAGAAAAGGGAGAGATGACTTCTAGAACAACCTCAGTTCTCAAGACAAGGTGCTCGAGGAGGGCAAGGAAGGAGAGCAAGTGATGGGTGAGTAAAGTGGGGCTTTAGGGAACAAAGGACTTCATGAAGTTTTTCACCAAAATCAGGAAATGCAGCAAAATGTATCATGGAAGAATGTGTATTTGGAGACATCTGTCACTTCAAAAAAAAAAATCATTTAACAAAATCTACTCCTTTTGCTAAAATCCCAGCACAAAACACACACATACAAATGTAAGCTTCCCGGATAAATGAAGAAAATGATTCCAATGAAATTTCATCTTGAAATCAGTTTAGACACAGGATGTACAAGCTAAATGAAATGTTTCTGCCAATTCAGTCTCAAAATTCTTCCCCTAACTACCACCCCTGTGTTGTAAACTATGTACCTCATTAGTTCATAAACAGAGCAGCACAACTTTGCCCAGTACTCAGCCACAGTCTTCTTGTCTTGGGTACTGGGGCATACGGGCCCACATAGGATCAAATCAGAGACCCTTTTCTAGGGGTAACCCTCACCAGCAAATCTGGGACCTTAAAAGCTCTGCTGGAGGCAGCAAAACAAGCAGGATCGGAATCAGGATGCAGAAAGCAAAACTCTTTATTCTTCAAAATCTCCTTGATCCCAGAATACTCAGTAGGATAAGCAGAGAAACTCCAAATCTTGCCATTGTCCCTCAGGACCTTGGGAAGCAGGGCAACCATGAAGAAGTCTCAGGCTGAGCATTAATTCAAATTTGTCTTCTAGTTCAGCTCAATTTAATTTGCTGCATAGAGAATTAAGTTAAAAGTGACGGGCTACCTGAGATCAGCAAAACCTTACAAATTTTTCCTCCCTATTTTAATTTCACTTTTCTCATTTTATACATATAATCAGTCACTAAAATGTATTTATCAGGTAGAAGATGGAACTGAAGTCCAAGAGCATAGAATCACCAAAATATTTAGTTTTAAGAGGCCAAAAGTTCATTGTTCCCAGTTACGTCTTAGAAATATTTCCATAAATTTGCTCAAGTCATAGAAGAAATTAAAAGTATTTCCGTGTTTTCTCTCTCACTGAGAAAAGAAAAGAAACAAAGGCAAAAGCAATGCATCTTCATCTCTAGGTGGTCTGTCGTTAGTGGTTTGGCACCGAAATTGTTGGACAGAGAAACTAACCAATCCTTTTCAAAAAGTCAGCAACTCTGTCACCTGGCGTCAGCTACCCATTTAAAGATGAAGTCCAGCTTCCATTGCTAACTTCTGCCAGAATTGTTCTCATCAGCAAACTTCTCTCCTCTCCAGTTCTGCAAAGCTCAGGTCCCTCCTGCCTTGAATTGGATCATGAACCTGTCTAGGACTTCAAAAAGGTCAAACTAATTCTCTTGCTTTTCTTTTTCAGCACCTCTCTCATAACTTTCCCCTTTATTTGAGCCTTTTATGGTTACTGTGTTTTGCGTGTCAACACTCCCAACACAGCAGCCCACCCTGCAATGCCAGGCCAGGCCCTGGACAACTTTGCTGGCTTTTTTTTTTTTTTTTTTTTTTTCCTTTGCCTACTCAAGGGCTCTTCAGTCTGGGAGCCAGGGGACTGAGTGAAAAACTGTCCTCACCAATCACAGGCTTAGGGGAGCGATTTTCTTGGAGATAAGCTAGCCTGGAGAATTGATGCCACAGAATTAAATTGGTTCATCCCATCCTGAGGGCTCCCACGCCCACTCCAGCACCCTTGGGTCCTAGGATCTAACATTGCTCCAAAGACAGAGACCCAAATCTCCACAGGACTCACACGGCCACCCTACTCATTGCTGAGATCAGCAGGGTAGGCTGGGGCTCTGTGGCTGAGGAACGGCAGGAAGGGATAAAGAAGGACTGGGGCTGTGATCCTCAAAGCTCTGGAAGCAGGGCCCCAGAGCTGGACCTAGCCTCACCAACAATGCCCAGAGACCACCTTGAAGTCAGACTTAGGTGTTCTAGGCTGCTGCTACCGCAAGCCGTGGCTTGACTTGAAAAAAGCACGCTCTTAATTTGCTTCGCTCAGTTTTGTGAAGTTGGCAACTTGGAAAAGGAAGCGAAACAAAGGTCCCTGGGAAAGTGAAGTTTTCAATTAATTGGTGTGAGTAACGGGCGGGGGTGGGTGGGTGGTGGCTGCAAAATGCAAGAGGCCGGTTACGCTGTGGGCGAGGCGCAGAGGCTTGCGGCAGCCTCAGAGTGACTTTCGCCTCCCGCGCCCTTCAGAGGGTCTTTCTGCCCGCCGAGGGAGGCGTCGTGGAACCGAGAAGCCCAACTCGGGAGGTGACTCCAGCTGGCCTGAGAGTAGAGACGTGGAGATGTGGACCATGGACGTTCTTTCTGGGGCAGACTGTCAGGCTCAGCGCGGCGGATGTGAGGTTGGTCTTCCCTCCGCTTGGTTTAACTTGATTGCGAGTCTCCTCCGCCCAAGGGCGCTGTGTGTGTATTTTCTGGGTGGACCGTAAATCCTTGTGTGTATAGGGTCTACGCCCATGAGTCTTATATGTGTGCAATGCCTTTGCCGGTTAGCAATATTCAAGGTAGGGAAAATCAGCTCCCCAAAGTTTAGAGTCCAGAGGTAGGCAAAGGAAAGATTAAGCTATAGGATTTTAAAACTTTTTTTTTTTTTGTCTGTTTTCACATCATTCTGACCATCTCTGCCCTTCATCTTCGATTTGTTTGCAGTTTGGGGAGCCGAGGAGAGGTGGCAAAGACCGCCCTGGCCGAGACAAGGCGCAGGCCTCGGCGCCCGCCTCCGTCGCAGACAGGGCCTGGGATGGGCCGTCGCGCAATCAACTCGTGGGGGTGGCTGCAGCGCCAACGCCTGGGTCTGGGGGAGGGAGAGGAGGGGAGGTGGGCCGCGCCAGGGGCTGCGGGGGTTGGGGGCCCGGG